TGCAGCGACGATGCTCACGGAGACTACCAGGAGAATTGAGAATATGTAGCGGATAATGAGGCGAGAGAAGAAGAAAAGGAAGGGGGTTTATGATGATGTCAGGCGGGAAAAGTCCTTGTCAATTTCCATTCCGGGGCACGTAGGAATACATGAACAACCATGGTGAATAGCAACAATATCTCGCAAACTAGGAGGGGAAGCCGGAGAAGGGAGGCCAGAGAGAGAACTCGGACGCTGATGAGAAAAAGCGAGAGTGAGATAGGATAGTTCGGAGGTGGGAGGCCCAGGTCGAACGGAGATTGTGGGAGGGAGGTGTAAGAAGGTTAAGAACGAAAGTTATCCATTTGTGTTGGGTGGGAAGAGGACGGGAGAAGGTTGGGATAAAGTTGGGATAAAGTTGGGGCGAAGGTTGTCTGGAAAAGACAATATGATGGATGATGGATGATGGATGCTATGTAGCTTCAAAATCGAAATTCAACGTTGCTTTACAATATGACCTGGGTTTCCTCTTAAAAGTATAAAATTAAAATATTAACTACTCCGTACAGAGAAGGAAAAAGAAAAGAAGAATCAAAATGCAAAAAGATCCAACGGGAAAAAGAAAAGAATTTGTTGCTTTTCTCGATTGATGTGATGTGGCTTTGTCTCACTGCTACGCTACAGTACCGTACCCCTACTGCATATGCACGTCCAAGAGGCCGGGTCATTTGGGATCATCCATTGTATGTACGGAGTACATGTACAAGTCCGGGCTGTAAATATCCATTTAAGGGACACCCGCAGGGTTCACCCCGTACGTACGGTACAGATGAGCTCTCCTCGTTCTAACTACTTAACTACTTAGAGAAGCATGTAGCCTCCAAGCAGAACTTCCTCTTGTTTCATATTCCTCCTCCGCCATTTGTCTCTCTGGTGTTCGTTTCGCATATGGGAACCTAGCACTAAATCTCTCGGTTTTACGGTTGCTAGTTGACCGATGTCTCAGTTTTAGCAACTTGTCAGATTTTCCTTTTCCTTTCATATCTCCTTTCTCTCCCACCCTTTTGTCTCTCTTCCCCCCATTTTTTTTTTGTTGTTGTTGTTGTTGTTGTTGTTTAACACCTCGAGCTTTTCATGCCCTTCCTCCAGCATTTTTCAGGTTTCCAACAGGCCTCCCTTCCCTGCGGAACCTTGCGGAGTCGAAATATAGTTAAATCACGTTCGCAGAAAGGACACTCTAGCGTAGAAACCCCCGGGCACGCACCGGGAAGTTGTATCCGTAGTTCTGGCCAGGATCATCGCTGGACACAAGCCACACACCGCAGGGCTACTTCTACTGGCGTCATCCCTCATGGCCCTCACGCACGCCTTCCACGCTGATCCCCAGCCCAAGCCTGGTCATCAGCAGCCAAGACCCTCCGGTCATCACCCGCCGAGAGAGCGATGCCACTTGACTGGTTGGTTTGTCAGTAACTAAGTTACTCCGTACGGAGTAGTGTCAACCACCACCGGACCGGTTGAGTTCAAACTGCTGCTAGCCAAGCCACCAAAAAAGAGCTGCACGACAGCTGCCAAGATTATTGGAAGACTTTCAACGAACGCGCAGTTCGTTGCGCAAGGTCTGATAATCCGAGAGCGTTACGAACGACCGCCCCGCCAAGTCGTAGCGCCTGCAAGCTTCGACGTCTGATGCTGTCATTGTAAGACATTATTTATTGTCGGATGCTTTTATTATTATCAGAAAATATTCCCCGTTAACCCCATAGGAAGTTATAAGGAGCTTTGCGCGTCTGTCTTCCTTTCGGTTTTCTTTCTTTCTTTTTTCCTAGGTGAGCGCTAAAGATAGTGTTGACTGAATCAGCGTCGATCCATCAGCACGCGGAAGTGCTGGGAAGTAGTTTATCAACCTTGGAGCTGGCAGGCTGATCGTCAGCATATCAAACTTAGTTTTGGATCATTTTTTGTCTTTGCTCACTTCGGTTTGCTCCAGATCCCCAGACGAATCCCCCAAACTCTACTTGAATCGGCAGAAACCCAAAACAGAGGAGCTCGTGTAGGGTAGGGGTAGGGACATTTATTGATATCAAATAACCCCTTCAGGCCAGCTAGTTCACCACTCATATGGCTTCAAGCAAAGTTGATTCCTAATAATAAATTAATAACTAATATATTATTTTTCCAACACTTTTGGGAACAAAGTATCCGTTGTCCCATATTATATTATATATATATATATATATTAAGTACACCTGCGCGACAAGTATGCTACACATTATTATTATGCTACTACAAGACAAGACACCTAGAGTAAAACATTGGGATTAAGAGGTTAGGAATTGAGTGAGTGCCTATGAAATAACCCGGAACATCCACCATTGGAGAATCTGAGATTCTTATTAAAGCGATTGTCCAGGATGGGCCGCAAACTGACAACTAACAACCTGTCCACTTGTCACGAAAAGCAAGGCTTGCGCCCGCACAGATCTTTCTGACTAACACTAAACTTTACTCCCGGATTAAGGTTCGGGTGGGAGTTGAATTGTTGGTTAGATAATCAATCCAGATCTGGCCAGAAGCCTAGAACCAAGGCTCCAGATCAACTCTATCTAATAATTAAATAGACTAATTTCTTCACAACAACAGCAAATAACTTCATGTTGCCAGAGGCAGGAGAAAAGAATATTTTTCTCCTCTAGCCCTCTCCGTTGCACTGAAGCCAGGTGCTAGTCAGCGTGTGTACCGGATAGTCTGGCGTGCGTTCAAGACAGGCTCAGGGATGGCACAGCCAAACCACCGCTTTTAACATCCACCACTCCAGCTGGGGATTGGGTTTGTCCTCTGTCGACTCTTCCCGCTGAGGTTCTGAAAATAAGGGATGATAGGGGGGAAGAGCATAAAATTCGCTGGTCCGTGGTCCCTCTGGGATTTTGATGGGTTTTCGTGGACGAAGTATATGTACTGTACAACTCCTCAAGGCAATATTTACTCACCTAGATACCATTGGTACCTAAGTACTTGAGTTTTCGAAGCCTTGAGTGACTGGATCAACAGCCATATACCACTTTACTCTTTTACCTGTCTCCTCTTTCTTTGTCTTTCGTATTCCGCTCGCTGGTATTTTAGCTGTATCACCTGTCCTTCATGCGCCATAAATATGGAAAGACATGCTTGAACAGTACTTTCACACAGTACGTACTTGACTTTGATTTAGTTTCCAGTGGGTGACTACGGCCTTATTTGGGCTTGCTTCTCCTGCTTTACTTTCCTTGTTTGTAATACCTCCAGGTGGTGTATGAGGATACCAATTTTTTATATACCATCTTTCTCTTTGCATGGATTCGCTCAATAATTCTACAGAGGTCTGCCCTTGTTTTGAGAAGTGAATGTGATGAGAGTCTCTGTTTAATTTTGTTGTTTGAAGCTTGAATATGACATACTTCATTCACTCATGAAAGTGATTTATAAGATATGACTGTTCTTGTTTTTGTCATCTTCTTCTTTTTCTGATGCAATCTTTCTGATACAATCAGATTCTCTGTGTTTCTGAGTGATGAAGATATCTTCTGAGTGAATAAAATTGTTCTTTCCTTTGTCATTCTATAGCACTTCTTAAGTTTATTAACTCTCAGCAGTTGTCAAGTTGAGAGATTACACTCACTTCTCAATCTATTTGTTTTTCTTTCTGACAATATTCTTTTTTCTGTCTGATATTTAGACATGGTGCATGGTCTTCTTGTTCTCTAAGAAGACTGCAAATTTTGCTGTCTAGATACAATTTCTATACTTTCAAGCTATCATCAAAACAATCTGTCACCATGTCCAGTATCTTCAATGGAATGGAAGTTCCCTTCCAGAACCCCCCTCCTGGGCTATCCAGGCCCTTTCTTAGGGATATGTATTTGCTAGTTGAACCTCTTGCACCTCTTCCTGACCCTCCTTCAAGAAGCACTATTCAATACAGCATAAAAGAGCGCTCCAAACTTCCCCCTTATGAGCCCCCTCCCGGTGATGAAGATTTTGCTCTAGTCTTCAGCACTGGTGACACCCCACCACCCTCAGAAGCTGGACCTGAGGAAGATTTCGAAAATGCCTACTTTACACGTCTCGAGCAGAAAATCAAGGACTTTGGGCGTTATTTCAACTCCAAGGCGTGGATGGTACATGTGCCGGCCATGGCGGAGAAACTCGTGAAGGATGCCACTCCGGGCACCTTCAAGCATTTCCTTCTATTGCTACTAGAACCAGACGAGACGTTCGCAAAGGCACAGCATAGTGTTCAAACCTGGCTTGACGAGAGATATTCTGGCCGCGGTGTCGACAATATCCCTGAACGTGGGCCCTACGCCTTATGGGTTGCGGAAAAACAACTACTGCTGGGTGAGATTGAGCTTCTCCGCAAGCTTGTCGAACCCTTGCGAGACGGGGGCAAGACCATTTACTGGCTGGAAAAGAACCATTGCAGGCATCTATACACGATGAGGTCCCTGAAGAAAGCTTACAAGATAATCATTGAGTTTGAGAATGAGACTACGACTAGGACAATTCTCAATGAAGAAGGTAAGTTATCGTTCCTCTCAGTCGATCATAATTTTGCCCGCATCCGGTGGCTAACTGCGATGACTAGAGGATTTTTCCCTCTCAACCCTTTCAGGTGATTTTAGATTGGCTGTGATGAGCATGAGAATGGCTAGAATAGACGTGTGCAAAGAGTCACTCTTGAAGCTGCCTCCGCCTACAGTCCCTAAATTCAACGACCCAACAACTTCCCCTGCCTCTGAACGACGTTTGCACAAATGTAAGAACCACCAGCCGCGCCCTGATGGTACAGAACACTTGGACAGACCGGAGTCATCTCTTTCGCCTCAGCCACATGAGGACTTGCTCAAATACAGACTCGAAGCCGCCAACTGCGCAGGCACGATGGATGATGTGATCGAAACTATGATGAACACTGCTCGTTGGCTCGCGAAGGCTCGCTGCACCGAATCCGTAGACCTTTTCTGCGACGTGGCCAGGATGTTCTCCCCACACGACCCTCCAGCAAATCTATCAAATGAAAAATACTCCCTCCTTCGTGTCCTGTGCGATGCAATGTTCGACACCGACGACGTTGGCAGCGAAGCGCCCTATGTCACAGACAGATATTCCGAAGACGACCTCGACGTAACAACCAACCGGGAATACTTCGTTGATGCCGCTGCATCGCGTCGCTCCCTGATGAGGGATCTACAGCTCCGAATGGCGGCTGAGCGCCCCATTGCTCCAACCCAGATGCATGGCCATCGCTTCAGCTCACATGGGTCAATCCGACGGGGGAGGAGAAGAGCGCGGATGCTCAATAAGCGTGCTAGGTCAGAAATAGCATTACCCAGGTCCATCGCACACCGTTACAAATTTACGTTACCCGCTGACCCTAGCAACTGGGCCGCGAACTACACCTCGCCGTTCGGTGAAGCCTTCCAGGCAGAGCTGGACCGGCAGGAAGAGAGTCGGGCCTACCAGTGTCTGAAAATGATCTGTGAGGAGGGGCTTAAAGCGCGTTCTCGTGCTGTACCTTCTCAGACGGCTCCAGTCCAGCGGGCCAAAGAAAGTGAGGTTAGTATAGTACACTCGTTATTCATTTATCGCCTGAAGCCAGCTCTAAAAAGCATCGATAATTCTAGACGGATGTAAAGCAGAAACGCCGTGGTTTGAGTGCTCGCTGCAGCGGCAATCAAGCTTCGGCAATGATCATCGAGGCACTGATGAAGAATGGACATGGGGACGCAGTATCTGATGCCCAGGAAAAAGAAAACCTTATCGTCCCTGGAAGAAGAACGCTTAGGGCCAAGGAACAAGTTGACAAGAGCGTGAGTCGACGCTTTATCCGCCCAGTCCCCGCCCTTGTTCGTTTCCACAAGGGAATTTTCTTTACCTTCACCCTTTTTCTTTAGGGTTATGGCCTTCTGACTAACATATAACTCCTCTCTCGTCCGTCCCGTTTGTTTCCCTTGCAGCAACGACATGTATGGAGCACCTTCTAGCTCAGCCCCTTTAAACCCATGATTAGACATGAGTTGGTGGATTTGAATCAAAGCCACACATGGGACTCGCTGGGGTTTAAAGAAAAAAAGAAAGAGAGGGAGAGAGAGAGAAAAAGATTCATTTCCGAACTGCTTTCTCTTCCATTCTTTCCGGGTCTCCAGAAAATTCATGACAAGTTGTATTACCCAGGTGGAAAGCAATAACGAGGAAATCGTTTCCTTAATCGGATTACGCGAGCGGACATACATAAGCATATCACTTATGTATGCAACCTAGCAAAGAATCACTGCTCTCTTCTGCCCCCGTTTTTCTTTCTACTCCCTTTTTTTTTTTTTTTTTTTTTTTTTTTTTTTTTTTTTTTTTTTTTCCCAACAAGTTTATCCCCCCACTTCTCAACTTGGCTCTTGCTCCCGCACTCCAAGTTAACAGGTTCTCATTTTGCCTTCGCATCTTTGTTTTTTTTATCTTTCCTACTCCTTCCTTTCTTCTTTGTTGTTCCGTCTCACATCCATTTAACCCCCGGACAACAATCCAAGGGTCAGCTTCCCAAGGGACACGGCACATACTTCCAATCATGGGTTCCACGGGATAAAGAGGAATGTTGACGACACTTGGCTCGGGCACGGAGGAGTGAATGGGCGAACGAATGGGCTTTGGTGGAATGAATTATGTTAATGAATAAATGACTGCTCTGGAATCTTTATTTTTAAAAATTTTTTAAATGGTCATTTGTGCCTCGGAAAAGCTTTGGCTTTATTATCTGGGTTCTTCTTACTTCTTTTCCTTCTGGCTTTGACGATTTTTAACGAAGAAATTCCATCTCGTGGTTGGGTTTTACTGCTTGCCCCTTGTTTTGTTAATTCAAATACAGAGTATAATTAGTTTGTATTCACATGCTGCTACGCTTTCTAGGTGAAGGTTCATCTTTTTTAGTTCTTTCCTCTTTAATTGTGCAAGCTGTGATGTGATGCTGTGTACAGCTTGCTGGACTTGAAACCCCCGACGCGAAGCAGAAGCAGGGACCAGTGCAGCTTTCTTTGGTGACGTTAACAAATTAATATAAATTAAAAAGAATTGGTTTCGCGTAAATAGCCCTATTATTTAATTCCTTCTCATTATGTATAATCGTATTTCCGTCATATTTCTACTCCTCATATAAAAAAAGTTTTGGATAGCAAAGCGGTGAAAGATCCGTAAGACACCAACACGGTTGACGACTGGTCAATGCTATCAGCTTATTCATGAATCCCTTGTTGTCTCTGTGTAAATGTCAAGACAGGGTCGATCAAAGTCATATCAGTATCTCCACCGTTGTCGACTGCAGAACCACAGCCACCAATAGCAAAATCGGCCATCGCAAATTCGTCACTAACCAAACCCTGCGCCTTTCCAATTACCAATTGCCCGTCACCTAGATCCTGTGGGTGGATATCATCACCGTTCCCGGCGCCAGAACCAGTAGCATATCCATGCCTACACCCATACCTCGTCAATTTATCAAAGTCGACATCAAAACTCTGCTCCCCACCCTGCATGGCGCGCTGCATGAATAAAATCTGAATATCATTCTCCTCCAAATTGTGCTTCGAAGCCATGTGCAGCCACAAGTCATAGTCTCGATGGAAGAGATGCGCACACTGCTCTAGCAGACAGGGGATGTGGCGCCCGGATTCCTCCATGTAGCCTTCGCCAGTCAGCATGGCGAGATTCGAAGGGGCTGCTGACTGGCCATCCTTATCTTTAGTTCGAGAACGAGAACTGCTCCCACCACCACCACTACCGCGGCTGCTGCTGCTGCTGCTGGAGCCGTTAAGGCCGAGCAGCTCCCTTCGTTCCGCTTTCGCATTTTTTAACCCCAAGTGTGCTGTGCGAACGTGTTCTTCTAGGGCAAGTTTGCTGCCGTAGCGTTTACCGCATCCGTTATCCTTCACGTTCCAACCTTCTACCTTTTTTGAGCTGGAGAGGTCTGTCTCGCCGCAGACGAAACGTTTCTCTCCCTCATGAACGGTTCTCATGTGCACGTTTAAATTGCCTTTTTTTGTAAAGTTTCGACCACAGCTCGGGTAGAGGCATGGGTGGATTTTGCGTTCTTCCACCGGGACGGTTCCATGGGTGATCTCAAGATGGCGGCGGAGGTCTCGGCTCGATGTGGAGGTCATACCACATTCTGGACAGGTGGGTGGGTGGACGGATTTCATGTGTGCTTGAAGTAAAGCATAGGTTGGGAAGACGGCAGTTTGATGGGGATTGGTCGTCCCGTTCGTCGCTGTCGACGTTTCGTCAATTGCCTTGGATGAGCATTCTATGCAGGCAAACCGTGCACCGCCGTGAATTCTGCTCTCGTGCGAGCGCAGATGTCCTGCTGTATCGAAGGCCTGCGTGCATTGCTGGCCAGTGGCTGGATCAATATGCGGACAGGGAAACGGTTTCTCATTTAGATGGGCGGTCAAGATGTGTTTTTGGAGTGTTGAATGTTTGCGGAATGTTTCGTTGCAAGGTGGGTATTCAGTACACCTGTACTTGTCCCTTCCTTCGTGGGCAGCTAGATGCCTTCGTAGCCGTGATCCCGTGACGAATGTCTTGCCGCATCCCTCTCTATCGCATATGTAGTCTCGAATGGTGGTATGCGCACTTTTTACATGGTGGCTCAGATGGGAAGCTCGTAGAAATGTCTTCTCGCAGCCTTCATATGTACAGCTAAATATTCGCTCGTTGGTATGTGATCTTAAATGTTCTGTAAGTCGTGCAGGCCGGTTAAAAGCTTTAAAACATCCCTCATAGGGGCAAAGGTGAGTTTTTCGATCTGACGGGTATCTCGAGGAGGCGGGAGAGTGAGGTGTGATGGGTGTTTCATGCTGGCTGCCATGGCTCAGACAGTAGGAAGATTGGGATGAAAAGTCCGATATGTCGCCATTATCAACTATATCTGCGAGATTGTCAGATAAAAGAGCAATTCGCAGCCACGCATGGCGGGCCATATCTGATGCTTACCGGAGCTTTCTGACGGAGCTGAATGTTGTAGCCGTTTAGGCTGTCGGTTAGTTTCTGAAGTAGCTTTTCGTTTCTGGGCCATGATGGTCATCTGCCATATGGCGACCAAAAATCAAAAAGGCATGTAAATGGATGGCATTGGTTATTCGTATCGGAATATCTTCTGTGTTGATCTGTGGGCCGAAATGTAGTAAATCTTGGCATAAAAAAGTTTGGTGGGATTTAAGCGCCAAGCGCCATAGGCGAAAGGCGCCAAGGTTTCAACTTTTTCTTCGCTCTTGACCTTCCAAAAGACATTACAGCAGCAACACAACAGGGGACAAAACATCATCAGCGCAGAGTGGCTGACTCACTCTAATTTGAAGAGCGTTCTTATACTGCATATATTTTTTGTCTCGGACTTTTATCTCTTCGTTTAAGCGCAATGTCAGACTACGGTGGAGGTGAAGACCACGATGATGCTGGGTTAGTAGCCTAATGTGTCACCGTGGCTCACTATCTGGAAATCTTGCGGCTCTGTGCAGCGGCGGATTTATTAAGGCCTTTTGAGCTCTTAAAACTATGTAGCTAATACTAGACTTCTTACAGATTTGACTATGAACCACCCGAGTACGAGTATATTGATAATGAGCCGGAAGATTTTGTTGAGCCGGAGCAGACAGAGCATGCCGAAGGTTATGCGATAGTCAATGGCGACGGCCAGCCTGTGCAGAATGGCGAAGAGAACATTGTTTCGGGGGACCCAAACGCCGGCGCATCCAAAGGAAAGGTCATGCTGCAGCAAAGAGAGAAAAAGGTGCCCAATGATCAGCGGACGACAACTCCCTACATGACCAAATACGAGCGCGCCCGAGTATTAGGCACACGAGCGCTACAAATCAGGTTAGTTTTCGTGGGGTTACCTATATCGGGGCAAACGATTGTCTCCAGCATACTAACCTGGATTGTCAGCATGAACGCCCCGATCCTCGTTGACCTCGAGGGAGAAACGGATCCTCTTCAAATTGCTCTGAAGGAGCTTGCTCAGAAAAAAATTCCGCTGATTGTTAGGAGATACCTCCCTGATGGATGGTAAGCTTGACTCTATATATATATATATGTGTGTGTGTGTGTGTGTGTGTGTGTGTGTATACACGTGGAGCCGTATCTAACCAATTTCGTCACCATAGGTATGAGGACTGGACCTGCGAAGAGTTGCTTTAAGCGTGCAGCTTTACTTTTGCTTTCTATTTTTAAATATGTCAGTGTTGATTCTGTGTTTTGTTTAATACCGTGATGATTTTCGCATAGCGGGTGGAGTTTGGGTGTTCCTTTGGGTATCGCGTTTACGCCCCTGTGAACCCTTTTCAATGGGCAGGGGGGGGAAATTGCTTGAAAAGTACAAGGCAAGCGGCTGGACGGTTGCCTTTATAGTGTGGATATAGATATTTCATAGATCTGTATAATGGTTTTCGCTTCTTTCATTCCCGATATATCAGGGGGCTATGGGCTTGGTTCAAAATGCACGTAGGTATTTCCCATCCTCAGGTGCCAAAATCAATATGCTCGTGCGATTCCGATACGATGCGAAATTGTAAATCATCGAATTGGTGATACAAAGACCATTATTGAACATTTAAAAATATTACTATAACCCCTCGTCCTCTAACCTAACGAGGCTTTGGGATAGGGAGGATGCTAAGGCAGGTAATTAGCCCTAACCCTATCTCACCTCCAACCTCATTCTCAGAAACCACCAACTCCAGTCATCGTTTTTCTATCTTCACAACCTTCCCCGACGGAAGTTCAATTTTATCATGGGTTCCCACCAACTCTCTGGCGCTGCGAGTCTCGGGATAAATATTGCCAGCCGAGGACAAATGCTCCTGCTATCGGCCGTGACAGCTCTAGATGGAGTCTTCTCCAAAAGAAACCCCACAGCGTTTACAAGCGTCGCTATCCACGTTTGACCAGAACCAACTAGCCAAATTCCAGGACAAGAATAACTAAAATGGCGCGGAAAGCAATTCCAGACTTAGTATTTCTATCCTTCCCCATTAATAACTTTTTTCATATATCATTCAGGCATTGCTTTGCTGGGTCCCCTGTTCTGGCGCTCTCACATCCTTGCTTTATGAAGAATACATCCATGGATATCTTCAATAAACAACTTCGATTTCTTTAAATATTTATTTACTCTTCCTTGGTGAGCCATACCCCGATATCCCGAGGTTCAAGTACTCTCGGTTGGGCCGACGGCTATGGGAGAGCTTTCTTGCAACAAAATTGGTGCTGCCCTTCCAACGACATGTTCTTCATCATCTGGAGGTATTGAGGTGAAAGAGGAACCTCAGAAGAATAACATATTGTCATTTGACAATGCCGAGCTCATTTATGATCGCGGCTGGAAAGCATGGTCACAAGTGCTCGCTGCTTTCTTCCTCTTCTTTAACAGCTGGTATATTTAAGACATCAATTTTTCATACTCCCTCTCCAGGCCCCTGAGAGATCCTGTATATTTGTGAAGCAACCGTAACTAACTAGAAAAGTATGTATAATACAGGGGAATTGTACTTACATATGGCAGTTTCCAAACTTACTATGAACAACACCTACTTGCGGATGAGTCGCCATCGACAATAGCATGGATCGGCTCGATACAGTCGTTCCTCCTGTTATTCGTCGGTGCCATCACGGGCCCTCTGTTTGACGCTGGCTACTCCCGATATCTGCTGATAGTCGGCTGGGCTCTTTATTCGTTTGGGCTAATGATGACCAGCATATCTACCACATTTTGGCAGATCATGCTTTCGCAAGCCTTCTGTGTCGGCCTAGGGTCTGGAGCCGTGTTTGTTCCCAGTGTGGCCATTATTCCGCAGTACTTCAAACGTCGACGAGCACTGGCAAACGGAGTAGCAGCTACGGGTACGGCCCTGGGCGGCGTGGTCTATCCGATAATGTTCAGCCAGCTCCAATTGAAAATCGGCTTCGCGTGGGCGACTCGGGTGTTAGGCTTTACCGCATGCGCAACGGGTTTGATAGCACTGTCTTTGCTCCATGTACGGTTCAAGCCACAGGAGAAGCGTGCGCTTGTTCAACTCTCGGCATTCAAGGATCCAGTGTTCACCCTCTTCTGCATTGCACAGTTCATCGGTTTCATCGGTCTCTATAACGTGGTCGTCCATATACAACCCTACGTTATCGAAAACGGCATAATGAGCGAACACCTTGCCTTCTACCTCGTTTCCATGCTCAACGCCAGCTCCATAATCGGGCGTATTTTCCCTAATTTCATGGCCGATTACATTGGTCCCATAAATATCATGATCCCCATGACCCTCCTCTCCGGTATCCTGGCTATTTCGTGGATCAGGATACACACCACAGCAGGGGTAATCGCCCTAGTAGTCCTCTACGGATTTACTGCGGGCGGTTTCACATCCGTGGGGCCTGTTGTGTTTATGAACATCACGCCTGATATGCGAGATTTTGGCACCCGCTTGGGAATGTCGTTTGTTTTGTGTTCTCTGGGGTCGTTAGTGGGGACACCTATTGGTGGCGCTGTCGTTCATGGCACTGGGAGCTATGTGGGTGTGGCAGTGCTGGTGGGCGTCTGCTTTGTTGTCGCCGCTGGGGTCATGATGGTGGCTCGACTCTTGTCAACTGGGCCAAAGCTTTTCGCATCTGCATGATGGGATGGTAGTTACAGGTTTGTAAAGTTCAAATTGGAGTGTTCGTGACTGATTACTTCCAATGCAGCAATTCGCAAAATACGCATTTCCTTTTTTACATCAGCATTGGACTGGGGTCTGGGTGTTGAGAATATTTTATCTGGGTTGGTCATTGGCATCTTCGCACATATTATACGATTTGGCTGTACATACCTCACTCATAGCGCCTTTCTGCATGTCTTTTCACGTTTCCTCTGCATATACGTTGAGTTTATATGGCTTTATCGCTGCAAATATAATCCTATTCTCTTGACACAGAGCGACGTCTCATCAAACCCCTTGTCTTCATTTTTCTGTTAAGGCCTTTAAATACCAGCATATAGGTGGCCATACGCGAGGCATTATTCGTCTGGGCAAAGGAGGAGTTGTAAAATGGTTTAGTGCATGTAAACTCCAGGTAACTAGCTTCATAAAGTTGTAAACTCCCTCCTCCCTAACAAAATCAACTCTAGCTCACTTCCAAGAAAGATCACAGTGATAAGTAACCACACACTCAATAAATCTGGCATGTCAAAGGACGTAAAGTAAGAAGTTTTATTGTGGCATACAATTTCATTTTAGTAAACATCTTCCGGGCTGACCAAAAAGTTCTCCCCGTTCTCACGGGTATGTTTGAGCTCTTTATCTCGACTGAGGGGCTTTCGCATATCGAACGCATCTTCCCCTTCCTCCGACATACCCGTTGGGTCGTCACTGTAATAATTAACCACCCGTCTGAACACGGAGTATCTGAGAAGCACAGGAAAATATGAAGTTAGCGAGAGGAAACAAAGAGTGACAAAGATCATAGAAACAGCAGAGCGGAAAAGGTATCGACATACCCCATCCCTTTATACATTCCCACCGCAATCGTATTGCCCGCCCGCACATATAAATCCACAAACCACGCATCATTTCTATCAGACGCCCGCTCCAGGCTCTCTGTCAGCCGGCGTGCATGCCCCAATCTGCGCCAAGCTGGTGCAATAGTTAATACTGTAATGTGGCCATGCCATGGTGTGTAGTGCTCCGAGTGTCTCATTGAGGCGCGTTGAGATTCAAGCTTGCTCATTACTATGTTTTTTGACGAAAGCAAAAGAGAATTTAATAGTCAGTTCAGCTCGATTTGTACACTGAGGAAATTCAGCTTCCACGAAACCCTGCAGCAATTGGTGGACGCTTCTTTCTTTCTCTCCCTCTTTTCTGTTCTCTTCTTTCATTTATTTCTTCCTTCCTTTTCTATTTGTTTCTTTTAGATCAGAGCAAACGTACTATAGCCTATTATCTGGCCGTCACGATCTTCCACGACGTTGAAGAGCGACGGCCATTTCATTAGGTAGGTGAGGTAGAAATGGAGGTCATAGTTTTCTGTCAAAGCATCAAGGTTGGTGAGGTTGAGGGAGAAAAGGTCGGCGGGGGTCATGCGCCGGATGGTGGCCATGGTCGACTCGACGCGTTATATTCTGCTAGTTATGTGTTTAGAGCTTCGTGCATATATAGTATTAATTTAATGGAAGCTGATGTTGAGTTGAGAGCTGGTATGGTATGGGAAGATCGGGTTGCGGAGTGCGCGATTCTGTTAATTAAATATGATCTCCCTCGGCTTGGATATATCGCAAGCTTCTCTGCGTAAAAAAAAAACCTTCCGACATCAATCAATCGATAATCAATAATAATAAAAGCCGTTTGAGTGAAACAACCAACAGTTCAAGGTTTATTAATATTCAGTAAAAATATTTAGCTCGCCGCGAAATCACGGGACCGACCAGTCCCAACTCGGCAAAATGTCAATAACCAATCCAAGAACAACACCATGGATAAATAAAATAAACAGAATAACCCCCGCTGCTATTCGGTGCTCTGTTTCCTGTCATCGCCCTCCATGTGGCACAGAGAACCGCTTTTTGGATACACACGCTTTTGACGAGCACCCCGCGCCGTATTCGCGTCTTCCTATTGCTTATGTGCTGGCCACGATATCAAACTAAACAAGCCCTGCCTTCATTTCCGCAACTACGCCCAGTCCAATCCGTGCCCGACGCCGCATGGCTGACAGGGGAATGCTCTAAAGACAGGACGAGAAAATAGGAAATAAATACTGGAACAAAAAGCGAGACTATTTTTCGATACTCTTATATCAAATAATCGCCGTTCAACACTTCTACCTTTAAATGCGCGTACAACCTGCAATTCCCCCTCCTGTCATTAGCTGCCACCCCAGTCTTGCCGTGTCTCACTAAATATCTCATCCCACATTCTACCGAAATGCCTCCGCTCTCTCCTATTTCGCCGCCTCGAAGGCGTGGAAACCCGTCCCACCTAGACCTTTCGTCTGTCTCTTCCAACAATGCTTTGACACCAAATGGCCTCGGCCACAGTCCTCTACACTCACCGCTAACCCCGAGATATTCCGTTCCACTATCGCCGATGAGTCCTCGTCGACGCAGCTCAGGGGCGATGGATAAGTCTGCGAGATTTTCTGCGGAGTTTACTGCCCCGGAGGACTCAGGAGGAGGCGGACTAGGGAATTTAGCTGACGAACTAGCAGATGCTTGGGACGAGGACGGTGAAGGCGAAGAAGGAGAAGAAGACTTATCAGAGTTCCAGGAGGGAAATGACCACATGCAAGTACATGAAGAGGAGGACGATACGTCTTCTAGGTCAACACATAATACCGTGAGTGATTCAGGGAATCAACACTCGGGGGACGAAGAGTCAAATCGCAATAGTTTGCAGATTCCGAAGCAGAAATCAAAATCAGGACAGTATCAAAAACACCGTCGGCATGAACCTTCGTATGATGGTTCAGATTACGGTAATGACTCGGATTTTGAGGAGCCTGGTGATCTTTCTCCTGGATTAGAGAAGCAAATGGCGGGGGTTGAAAATCTTGTTCGATGGAGCATGGGAGACAATCTGCCTTCCGGCAACATTGTTGACCGAGTTGTCGAAAGCTTGCGGGATCTAGGCGGCCAGAGCGGGATTGAAAATAACGCTACTAGGTATGTAGAGCATCGTCTTTTTTTCCTCCTTGATTAATGTGTACTGCTCAACATTGGTATATGCTCGAAGCACTTTTCTTTGCTAACAAGCCACTCAAAGACTGATTACGGCACATGCATCCCTCGCCTCGCATCTAACCTCCCAAACACGCGCATTGCAAACCCTCACCCATCCACTCCTCTTCTCTCCGTTCCCCACCCTATCCTCTGAAGCAATAGATGACCTCGTCCCCCTGATCGATGACATTCTACCAAACCTCCCGTTCCCCGTGCGGCAATCCCCACATAACCAGGAACCCCAAACTTCACATGACGACCCCCTCCTGTCTCTCCGAGCGCTCCTCTCCCAAACATCTGATCTCACCCACGATCTTCGGGCTCTCAATGATACCATTCACGAATCCCGCCAGCTTACGTCGGCAGCAGCACGACGGCTGAAATCCGTACGTGAACTAGTCGCAGATATGCGTCGGGAAGAAGAGCAGCGAGAGGAGGGGACAAGATGGATTGAAAAGGGAGAGTGGGATCGGCGATTACAACAACGAGAAGCCGGGCGGGTGTGCGGAGATGTGGTGAGCGGGTTTGAAGCTGTATGTGGAGAATGGAGGGCCCGACTTTTTGGCGCCGAAGTTGCCGCTGCATAATTGATCTATATACTTTTTTGTTCTCTACTCCCCCCTAATTTTCGATATTTGTCTTGGTCTCAACCCTGTTCAGTTCCCTCGTTTTACTATTTGTTTTTCCGTTGGCCTCGTCCATTGGCCGTTTCCTTATATACGCGCATAATGTCCCCTCGCAATGGTTGCAGACATAGACATGTTCCCTGGATCTTTAGAATTCCCTTGTCGGAGTCCATACGTTTTGTATCCTATTTGTTTCCTTACATACATCCCCCTTTCCTGCGCTCGCCTCACAATCTACGCAGCGTATACCCTTAGAAAGGAGCCAAGAACCCTCTTGCAATAGAAACAATTCATTTGACTATAATTTTTGGCAATAGCTCACTCATATTACGATGCATCCAACAAACAATGCCCTATGTGCATGTATGTATGGACATACATCTATCTATCATGCAAGCATAACTACCTTCCACTCCCGCGACACCTTCACCCAGTCGACGAGGAATACCCAGCCAAGCTGACAACGACGTGCAATATTCCCATCCCACGCGATCATCAGCACGTTCACAATAGGAACCTTGTCTAGTGCGTTGCCATCAGCGTCAACATAGTTTTTCAGTCCAAGTTCTTTACTTGAATACGGCATAATTCCTATTCCAGATAACGAAAGCGCAATGAACTCGAACTTGGTGCTCGGTGCTATGCTACTTCCGGGCGCTTTCGCTCGTACGTGTTCTTCTCTAAGTTGCTCCGCATCCCCGCAGAGCTCCCCGATTCGTTCTCCTGACGAGTTGGTGATGTTAAAGGAGTATGAAGGCTTCGGTTCTAGGTTGAAAATTGCAGCTTGGGCTTTTGTTGCTATTATTCCCGCGAGTTTTGGATTTATGCCCTGCGTAATCGCCCCTGGCAGTGGTAATTCGCTCAGCTTGAAGGTCGATGGCATCACGTCAATACAGAAGTTGTGATAATATTTCCACCGCTTATTGAACATTTCACGGACGGTTACAAAGTTGTCAGTCCTTAGGGAGAAAGGCAGGGACGCGTTTCTTTTGTCTCCCAAACATCCTTCTATACAAGCAATAGCCATATACACCTGCCAGTCGTCATCCGGACCATGGGAGTCATGGCAGACATTGAAAGCCTCGATGACAGACCCGGAACCAGCTGGGACAGAGGTAGGGCGGCTTATACTATACCACGGCACTAAAGTCCCATAGAAGCCCGTTGCTTGGTAGTGCACTTGATCTTCAGCCAGGCCCATAATTGATGACCATGACCATGTGGGTAAAACCAGGCCCTGAGCAGTTTCCAGGCGCGTTATTGGGTTTTTACCAATGTTGGCATACCATAATAGAGCACGGTCAAAGTCAACTCGAGGTAACCCATTTATCATCATCCTCATCCTCATCGAATCAATATTCTTGTTATTATATAACGACTTAGAAATACCATACAAGGCTTTGTATGCGTCGGAGCGAAATGTGAGCTTTCGGGAAGAATAATGCCTGAGATGCCGCGCAAAGGATCGAAAGGTGGACTCATCGTCCGAGACAACCAGCCTGCTCGAGATGAGATCGTCACGACTTCTTTCGCCATTGAACATATCCTCATGGCTCATGGACCGTTCACATTCGAAGAATGCCCGCATATTTGTGAAATAGAGCCGTCTTCTCGAAAGAACTGCTTCCTGGTATGTCCACCCGCGCGTGTCCCACACGTTAAGGGGGTCATCCTCAACTTCACGAACGATATTCGTAATTCGCAAACCAAGTATGTCTTTGCTATGCTGGACTGCCATTCTCTTCACACGGCTAACACCGGGGATCCCAAAATCCATGCTGTCGCCGTAGGCGGCTATAAGCACTATCTGCGCAGAGGAGAAAATATCGTCCATTGCCTCGATCTGGGCTTCCTTATCCCCTACGTCATCCTGGATTATGCAAAGCCGGTCTACCCACAGGTACCTCTGGCCCATTTGAAGGCAGACTGTGATTGCATCTTCAATGGTCCTCGGCATTGTTGATGAAGGGAGGCCTCCATCTTTCTTCATTCCATCAACCGTTGCACATGTGGCTGCGAGCAGGGACGATGGTTTTGCGCCCCATACATAGCTGAGCCCAACGAAACGACGAATATCGCTTCGTTCAACAAGGCATCGTCTAATAACGTCGATGACTCGAAAGCCCTTGGGTAACGAGGAGCCTTGCGCAGCGGTGACATGCTGTTGGCATTCGCTGTGTGTGCTATAGCACTCGTTTATTTTGTCCTCCAAACGAGGCCAGAATAATACCTCTCCCACACTTGGGATGTGCGAGCCGCCTTTGCTCTTGATTAGCAAAGAAGTCTGCTACCATTTATCCATATATTAGGCTTACCTTCTCTAATCTCATCGATGTGAACATCGCCAACCCAAATATTCGACACTCCATCTCCATCGGAATAACTGACGTAAATATCCGCCGAAGGAACCCCTGATACCCCAGACTGCGAGTCATCGCTTTGGGGAGGCCCAAGGTAGAGGACAATATCATAGTTTCTCGCCCCTTTCACTTCTGCTATCCGCGTAGAACTAAGCCCAACCGCAACCATATGTTTCATGAAAGCACACAGTGAACATTCCCTTTTTCTCTTCCTTGAGACGATATTATTATTGCTACCATGGCGTTCTTCCTCCAGCAACCCTCTACGCAGAGGAAACAAAAACCTAGAACGAATATTGGGTTTGATGCAATTTACGAGATGTCTTAATCGTATGTGGCTGCAGAAATCACATATATCCAAATCTTGTGCTTCCTTGTCCCGAGGGTTGGTGGGGAGAGAGCAAGTGGAGGAGCATGGCTGGTGAAATAGTTCATAGCGTTCTTGGGGCGTTGGCTCAGAGTCGTTCTGCGTGTAGTAGAATAAAGAAGACTGACAGAGATGACATTGCTCATCCATTAATTATTCTGTGGAGGGGGGTGTATCTATATACTTTCCAGGAACAGACAAACAAATGGTTATATTATATTGAGGGGCGTGGAAAATCTTCAAGAACAAAACCGTAACTATCTATGTTATTATTTAACGGTTCTGCAGTTATCCGTAAAAAACTACGCTACGCCCCGTGTATTTATATTTTCTCAACCACCTACAAGACAGACGAACGAACGTGAAGAATTGGGAAGTATAAGAAAAATTAGAGAAACAAACCATTTACTGTGTAGGACCGTTAAAATAGAGCCAAATTTTCAATGGTCAATTACAGCCTACAAATATAATACTGGATTTGAATTAACGAATGGAGAGAGAAGGACATAAAACAGATGGCTACCGCTGCAGTTAGAGAGACAGGGAAAGAAAAAAGACAACGAGAATTAAAGAAATCAAAATCACAGGAGATATCCAGCACCAGTGATTGGAGATAAAAAAGCAAAACGACAGAACGACAGAGAAGGAAACACGTAAAAAATAATAACTCAGGACATAAATAAATTGGTTAAAAAAATAACGGATGGAAAAAATTTGTTCTTTTTATCATTCAGCTTGCTTTACATGGCTTAGAAAGCCGGGGGGCTAGCAACTTCATCATCTCATCGATCTCATCTCATCGCTATTTTTTCGTCTCTTAAAAGGGACGGTTGGGGGAGGTTGGGCTCGATCGAATGGGCAAACAAGATATGGAAAAGTGAAACCGAAGAGAAGGAAAAGAGGAACTTAAGAAAAATTTCAAGGCAAAACAGAGGACGAAAAAGTGATATGTGAAAAAGATACTAAAAATATTAAGTCACCCGATTTCCTTTGTCTCGCAAATAAAGAGAGAAAAGGTGACATGCGAAACACTGAAAAGGTAAGTTAAAAAAGCGACTAGATGAAACGTAAAATGGATAACTCCTGCACATCATCCTCTCGCCCTGTCGTATCATCAAACCATCACATTTCCCTACTACTGCTGCTGTTGCTGCTGTCTAAACCTGGGCCTCCATGCCTGTGTCGCTCCGCCGGAAGGTGGGTTGGAGCCCTCGCGACTCTCAGGTGCAGGCGAAGAGCTAGTTGGTGCTGGGCTTCTGGAGAGTGACTTGGGGGGAGCAACGGCTTCGCGGCTAAACCGCGGAGGCATACGCTCAGAAATGCGCTCGCGATCAGGTGCTCGCTCGGGCATGCGTTCACCGTTCGTCGAGAGATCTCGACCAGTAGCGGCGGCTCGTCGCTGTGGAGGAACGTATCCGCCAGTTGTCCGGGGAGGCGGGAGCTCTTCCTTGGCAGCGGGTGCTGTTGCCTCGGTTGGGGGAGTGACAGAGCCGGCCGCAGCCGCCTCCGCTTCCTTTGCAGCCTGGCGTTCTCGCCAGGTAGGGCCGGTACGACCTGTGAGATAAAGTCTAGGAGCAGTGCGTTCCGTAGATTCAGTGCGTTCCGTAGATTCAGTGCGTTCCATACGAACGGGGACAGCACCAGCTTTGCGAGCCTTGAGTTTGGCCTCGGCTTCCTCTTCTCGCTTCTTCTGAATTGCGGCTTTCTCATCGAGTATTCTAGTGACAGTATTAGTAAATTGTGCGAAATTCGTAACCAAAGCAGGGAAATCATACCTTCGCTCTTCCTCTCTGGCAGCCTTCTCTGCGGCAAGTTGGCGGCGCCGTTCAGCATCCCGAGCAGCTTTTTCTTGTTCCTCCCGTTCAATACGCTCCTGCTCCTCTCGCTGGCGTCTCTCCTGTTCCTCCCTTTCCATACGCTCGTGTCGCAAACGCTCTTGGACTTCCTTGATTCGTTGTTTCTTTTGATTCTCGAATTCTCTCTCTGCGGCTTTGCGGTTCTTTTCAAATTCCACATGTCGTTTCTCCTGAATGTTCTTTCTGAAATCATTGAAGTATGGCACCAGACGGCTTAGACGATGTTTGAGGGCAACATCTTCCTTATGCTTCAGCTTAGCAGCGGCCAGGGTATCTGCTTTGTTCTTCTCATAGATCTCGAGATCACGCTTCCTCTGCGCTTCGTAGTCTGCAGGGATATGCTTGAGTTCCTCCCGGCGATAGGCTCGCTCCAGATGGTCAATACGCTTGGCTGTGATTCGGACACGGTCGTTGAGTTCATTTTTCTCCTTCTCAAGCTGAGCCAGCTTGATAGTTCGAAGGCTGTTGCTATCCAATTCCTCCAAGTTAATTTCACTAACATCGATGCCCTTGACTCCGGTCTTAAGTTCCTCGAGTTGTTTCTTGAGCTCTTCTTGTCGAATACGGTCCTTCTCGTCCTGCAGCCGTTTGCGCTCGCGCTCGACGTGTTCATCATGCAATCTGCGTTTTTCAGCATCTTGCAATTCCTGCGCACGAATACGCTTTAGTCTCTCTTCCTCTTGCTGTTTCCTCTGCAGGGATTCCAGTGCAGCTTCCTTCTTCTTCTCAATAATGATTCTACGAGCAAGAGTCTCCTCGTGCTCCTTCGCAGCACCAGCCTTAGCCTTAGCAAAGGCAATTTGCTTGGCCTGGATGCGAGCTTGGTTATATGACGGGTCGACATACATGCAGGTGAGGTGAAGGGTCTTTGCCAAACGCGTAAGTTGGGACCTGGCGATTTCAGCGGGCGTGCTTTGGAGTCGCTGCACCGATCCCACTTCACTTTCAGCGGATCCGGCAGCACTTCCAGGATGCATAGCCTTGGCGGAGGAGAAAATATCGGAATCAAAAGTTAGGACGCCGGAAATGTGATCCACACGAATAGCCAAGTCACCCTTCTTGCAACCATTCATGATGAATTTCTCGATCATTGAGCGAGTAACTTGGAATGGTTCAGGGAACTGGGCGAGCTCATGGACGAATTTAACTTCAACGGATTCGTAAACCTGGGAGAGCTGTTGGAAGAGTCTTGTGAGGATAACTTGTTGAAGGGGAAGCACGTATTTTTCCATTTCGGGGTCAGCGCCAATTTGAGTGAGGATGGGGGAGATCTTCTTGCAAATCGACAATGGGTGGAAATCGACTTCCAAGATGTTGTACAGGTCCCGAATTTCTGGGCGGCAACGAGAAAGTAAACCCTTATTCAAAGCATCTTTGAAAAGACCAGCACGGGTGGGAGCTTGAGGCATGCCAAGAAGATTAGTCAACCGGGTGTTCTTGTTCTTCCGAACTTCGTCAACATCAACAAGCGCTCCGCGAGAGCGCGAAGTGCTAATGACCGGGATCGAGAGTGCCGAGAGAAGAACGAAAGATGCGGTCTTGGTCATCTCAGCTTCAGAGATAACTGGGTTTTCCTTCTTTGGACTTTGTCCTGCAGCGACAGCGGCGGCAGACTGGCGAAGGAGGTTATAGTAACGGCTCCAAGCTGCAGCGTGGAAGAGGTAGTTTTCGCTGACCAGGAAGATCCGGGTGAGCTTCTCATAATAATTGGCCATCATGATATTCTTGGCTGGTCGCTTGCTAAGGTTGAGAAGTGTATGGATATCTTCGACGCTACGGAAGCCCTCTTGCCACAATTCTAATTCAACAGCGACATTCAGTTGTTGGAAACGGGTATCTAAATGGCGCTGTAGAGTCTCTGGATCGCTCAGGTTGATGGCGTGCATCTGGCTGGAGTACTTTGCAGCGTTCTGAACATGGTTACGGAGCAGCTCACAGAGACGGCGGAACTCAGTTTTGCGAGTGTACTTCAAGCAGAACTGGAATGCCTGGAGCGCAGTGGTTTGATACATAACTTCCAGCCGTGCATTGTTCTTCAAGATTTCAAGAACAGTACGATATGTCTCCCAGAGGAATTTCAACCACGGGGTAACAATGGCTCGATCCGTTCTATCGCGAGATTGCTCACCAGAAACGGTTGCTAGAAGGATAGTCTCAGGCGTCTCGATAGCATCAAGATCTTCGATATTTGTTGATGGAGCAGCAGATTCGAGAGAAGATTGGATTTCATCAGCCTTAGCCTGAGCTTCTGTAACTTTTTGCTCTGCCAGTTCAATAAATTTTTTCAACACCATCTGTATGCAAAAAGGCACTCAAGTTAGCCTCACTATCCAGAAACTGCATTGTTGCCATTTGCCCTCTACCGATCCCATTAATCCCTCCCCCAATAGTCGTATATGTACTTAAATATATTTTCCTGAACCGGGGCATGTAGCAAGGAGAAAGGGAAAAAAGCTTACCTCAATTGTGCCAACATTGCTATTTTGCGCAATGTTTTTATATTGATAAAGGCCATCCTTTGCAGACTTTCCCTTTCGTAGATCCACGCACAACTCGACGAAAAGAATCATAACTGGCTCAAGGCTTGAAATGGGGCTGTTGCGGGAACGTTTGGAGGCGACTTGTTCATGGAGAACCGTCAGCGCAGCCTGCTGCTGGCCGACGGCAATGAGCTCTTCAGCTCGCTATGGAAAACATGAATATTAACATCGCAGGTTCCCAAATGGTTTTTTCATCTCCATATAGACTGATATCTTACCCTGAGGACATTCTCAGGCCGGATATGGGGCGGAGGTGGCATGCTGGGCAACCCTCCCCTAAACAGCGGACAAAGGGTGGTTTAGGACGTAAATCTCAAACCTGTCAATTTGACAAGGGCGTTTCTGCTTCGCTTATCGTGACGGGGGTAAAGGTCGTGGGTCTCGATGAAGAACGCGCGTGCGGAATATATCGAGACGGTCAACGACGCGATGAAGGGTCCTCTGGAAATGGAGAGGGAAGAATTTGGGGATTCTTTTCTGATGCTGGGGTTTAGCTTCTTTTGTGGTTGTGCGAGCGAGAACAGAAGGCGAAAAATTCCTGTGGGTTCCAAGGTTGCGGCTCCACTTCCTTACATAAGCCCTGCGCTAGTGGTAGAATCACGTGATATATCTCTAAACCTCCCGCAGCCAACATGAGACAAGTGAGGGAGAGTGAGTGGTCAAACGTCAGAACACAAGACGTTCGGAAGACCCAGGAGGAATATTTCTTGAGAAGGGCGAACGAAATGGCCTATTCATTACCTTTCATACGATGATCCGCGTGTGCACGCCAAACCAACATTGAGAATAGAAAAAAACAGGTCTTACCTTAGCACTCAGGGGTTGGAATTGCAGAAATATTACCATTTCATCCAAACCTCCCTTCCACTCCAATTATGTTTGCAATGCCACTTTGATTGCAATACCAGCCAGCCAATGCTTCCCAAGACTTTGAAATCATACCGAGTGTATTCATCATTCGATTCCATCTTCCACCCGCATCTCAGTCGATTGAGAATAAATGAAACCCTTTTGGCGTGCGGGATTATTGCGCGATAGTATGGCTCTGGATATGGTTACCGTTGATTGAAGAGTTCTTTTAACAAACAGAGATCGCAAGTTTTGTTTTCTGTGACTGAAATGGTCACCCTCTGATGGGCTTCACAACACCGTATTTTCCGAAGTTGCGTGGTCAGATTATGGCTATTGAAAACGTTTAGTTCTCGGATATACGAGTCCAACTCCAATTCATCAGTTTCTGATCAAAAGAGTGGATGGCAAACCCAGATATTATCACCGTTTGCCGTGCGTTGAACCCTATCGCTCGCTAGCGAAAGGAACAGGCTTGAAGAAGCAGGGCAACCGTCACGAACAAACTGACGGAATATAGGAGCGTCGAGTCCAGAAATTTTCAGGTATCGCAGAAACAGCAGCTTCCATTCGGATGCATGACATGGCGATCGATCAATGTTGGCAGCCTTCAAAAAAAAAAAATAAAAATAAAAATAAAATAAAATAAAAATAAAAATAAAAAAATAGACAAAGAAAGGAACGAAGACAGTTCATTCCGTTGAAGAGTATGGTTTGCCAACAATTGGCGCTGCTTGAATTCTTCCAGCCTGATATTCTCTATATATATCAGCCGTATCGAATGACAACCCTGAGACCAATGCTAGCCGCTCGCAAGTCTATTTATATGGAATATTGAACGCTAACCAATCATTTGCGCTCGATATACTCCGATACTCCAGAGTTAGATATATTCTAGGGTCATTGTTTTGCCAGAGGGACTGCTCAATGAAGGACCCCACGTTGACGGATGTGTCAATGATCCGGATTAATCGAGGAAGTGCGACAGTTGGGAGGGGAAGCCAAAAACTTCGAAAGGCAATAAGCAATTCAACTTGTTAGATGAAAAACGTGCAATTGGAATCAATTTCAATAAAGAGGAAGAGGAAGAGGAGGGGGGGGCTCATGACTGCCGTTTCTGGCAACAAATCTATCATATTGTGATACTTGTAGGAGTGTTGCTGCGTCTTAATATCTAGAACAGGGAAATGATAAAAAGGGTCTTGTCGACATGTAAAATTGCGTGTTACACCATTGAATGAATACTCAGAGAATTCCTCAACAGAAAACCCCCTCCTATCTAAATAAATTCATGCGCACAAAAAAATAGCGGGGGCTGAGACAAATATACGCTTGATGAAGTTGCGGTCAAGACTGGGGAAGCGGGGGAGGTCAGCATTTCTGTAGTCATGTGACATGCTTGCTCCGGATTCTGTTGCTAAAAGATATGCAGCGGCATACTGACTGTGGCGCGAAGTATTAAAAATGAAACAATTACATTGTTCTGGATCGGGATGTGATTGAAGAAAGTAAACAATCCATCACGGTGGTCTGGTTGTTGGTCAGGGAGGGTATTTAATGACGTTCATTTTGAGTTCAGCAAAATTAGGGAAAGCTTCGGCGGGCATGATGATCCCACCTTTATATCTGTCTGCAATTACACAATTGAGATTTCTTGTGACTAACTAATGTGCCTAGATAAATCCGATTGCATCTGAATATGCCAGTTGAGCGTTGTAAACCCCGCGCTTCACCTACGACACGGAAGGGAATCGAGTACGCAGAGAGCAAGCGCCCGCGGTACCCTTGGGGGAGGAGGCCCGTCCCGCCCGTGACTATGGCGATTTTCCGCTAGACGGCAGATCCCGTTCATCCTCATGGCAGATCGGTGGTGCGGTTCGCTACACTGAGGGTGACGAACGTCCGGCACGACTGAGAGCGGGCGACGTTATGCTGTTTGACCCGGCAGAGACAGATGTAATGGCATTCATCAGTCGCCTAGAGTTTATCGGAATTCTCTCATGCCGCAGTGCTGGGCCCAAGCAATTATTCATACTTCCAATATGGGGAATGGAAAACATTTAACTGCCCACTAAATACTCAATATGCACTTCCGTACAGACCAATAGAAGAGTAAAAATAGAACAATCCCTCGTTTGCTTACTGAAGTAGATCCAGGATCGAGTTTGTCAGCCAGTCACGAAGTTAATAATAGCGGCGGAAAATGCCTAATCGCAAAAGCAAATCCTCGTAATATTACTAGCGGCAAGCGACCCCGTTCTAGAAATTCTTGCGGAAGAAACCGCGCTAAACGAAGAAAGGAGGGAATGTCCATGTGTACAGCAGCCAATAATAGGTATGGATGTCAGAATAAGGAATTATAAGTACCAGCTGAGTTGGAGTAGGTTTGTGAGAAGGGGAGAGGGAGGGATTTGGCCTGCATTTAAAGGCCAAGCAAGAGTCAAAATTCAGAGGCTTGTATGGAGTAGTTAGTTGGGGTGGTGTGTTGCGTTAATAAGTCCTTGTCGCAATTGTGTGCCCGTAGTTCAGGCCTGTCATATCCGGGATTGGTGGAGGGCAAATGCGATGGAGACCACGGAACTCGGTAATTATGGAGGTATCGGCGCCAGGCAGGGCTGCTAAGGAAGAGGAAAGTAGAGGTTCCTGCAGCCCAAATAACAACAGATCACTGTTAGCAGAGAGTCTTGTCAGTTAAGGTGGATGTAGAGGCAGTGGTTAGAAACTATCATACAATATACAGAGTCCCCCGTAATAATGGTGCAGATAGAAGGCAGAAGAACAAACAACTCAATTGAGAGATAACGAAATAGCGCCCAGTATTCTTTGCACCTCATCCATCCCCCTCCTGTTCTTCGCTTTGCTTGGTGTTCTTTCTTTCCTTCTTCTCCGCCTCCCAAGCCCCCACCCATGTTTTAAACTTAGGCTAATTTCATGTTGAAAAGAAATGAGGAAGCGTCACATCGCGTAATCGGTTAGCCAACTAGGCCAGATGCTGGGATTATTAAACACAACAGCGCGGGCGAGGGGCTGTACATACATGTACTGTACCTTCGCTGCGGAAGTTAGGTGCAGAGTGACATCTGCCGGGCTCCGCCGCGCAGTCCGCGCCTGGAAGTTGTTTGATTATTAAAATACCAAAATGACAGCCCAGCCGCTGCCGATACGGCTCCGTAACCCACTAACCCCCCGCTAACCCGACGCCAAATACTAGCGGCTCCGCCTGGCTGCCCCTTTTTGCGTACAGGCCGTACGACTGGTATCCTATCACGTCGCCGTCTTTGTGCTCGCTTCCTCATCCCATCCTGCGAACAAACCAACACCAACCAACCCAGACAGACCGAACTACCACCACCGCCAACACCATCCACCACCATCTATTTCTCCCGTCACCACCACCCGCATCACCATTGCTGTTCATCTCTGAGGCTCCAGCGTCGGGCACTTGACCCTCTGTCGAGAATATCAACAGCTTTTCTCTTCTTCGAGCCGGCTCTCGCCTTTCTCTCGGAGCCAGTTCTCCGCCCGCCGTCTCTAGTTCGGACGGACGTGCAGGTTCATTTTCGCCAGTCTCCCTGGGTTCTCTCCTTCCTAGCCCTCCGCTACGTACTCCAACTTGTGGCAACATACCTCTTCTAAGGGCAATTCGGGCCATCACTTACGCACCATGCCCCCTGCGTACGAGCTTCGACCCGGTGGAGATGTAAAGAACAAGAAACAAAACATGGCCGAATTGAAACTACGACGTTTAAACGAGCTCAACATAAGGTTGAAGGAAGACCTAGAACGTCCGCGAGTCAAAGTGTCTGAGGCTTCCATGTCGTGAGTGTCTCCTAGCCCTTTGAGAAGCCCCGTCAAGTTGGTTTTTTATTGCGAGTAACTGCCCTCATCTGAGCACAAGGTTGCTTGCTACCACACGACTTCTTTGGGGTATGGAAAAGCACGATGGCTGACTGTTAAAAATTTCTTGGTTTGTTTCTGCCATCTTTATAGACTCATCAATTACTGCAATAATACAAGAGATTTTATGGTGCCTTCTGTGTGGGGTCAGGTAAATGGATTTCTCCTTTACCCTTTTTTGGCAACCCTGTACGGAAAAACTGGCAAATCGCGAACATTCACTAACATCAATATCAATTCTCCCTTTACCATTCAAAAGATTGACAAACGCGAAGATCCATACACGCCTCAACAATCGGGTGGCTGCTGTTTGATCATGTAGACTGGGTGGATTGACACAGCCATCTAGGCCCATCTCCTTTCATTTATAACCCATATCATTCGAAGATACATCCCCTCCCGAATTTTCTCTCCCAACGACCCTCGGATCTCCGCCATCCACACGCTCCGACTGCGCGCCCCAAAATCTCACCAGCATCCTCGCAACCATATTTTCCTTTGAAACGAATACGAACTCAAATCCCTTTAACCGGCCATGCATGAAATGAATGGTGTGGGCGGCTCACTCGCTTACACAGTTGGATGAAGCTAGGCTTCTCGCAGCATCGATAAAGCCTTTGGTGCTCCTATGTGTCCAAACCGTGTTTGAAGCGACGGCTTATTCAACCCACCAAAAACAACCTGTATTTGTGTATGTTGAGTATACGCATTTGTCTTGCTCCAAATTACTTGGCACAAGAAAAAGAATACACATTTCCTCCTATTGTTTTGGCTGGCATTCTAGGCTAGCAACCATTTATTGGCATTTTCCGTCGGCTCTCCTTTTAGCGGACCATCATCTCATGCTTTTTTATTTCTTTTGTCTCTGGCTGTTTGGTTGTTTTTCTTTTCTTTCTTTTCTTTCTTTCTTTATTTTTTCTTTTCGCTTTCAATTTTCATAATTGGATTATCCCAAACCCTTATTCCCCTATTTTCCCCCTTTATTTCTGCTCTTTTTTTCTTCTCTATCTTGTCTTTTTTGTTTATTCTTTTTTGTCTCTCATGTTCACCATTATTTCCCCTTGATCTCGATATTTTTTTCACTGTTCATGAAGGTGGTTTTGGCTCTCCTCTGTTCGTTGTCCTGGATTAATTCATATTGTTCCTCTCCTGTGTTTCCAACTTCCTTTTCTTTTATTTTTCTTCTCTCCATTTGATTTTTTCCTTCAACCGCTTGGGTAATGAAGGCCTGGAGCAGAGAACGGCATCCTTCAAATCAAATCTTTTCTTTGTAAAATAGATTTTGGGACGAAACGGCAGCAAACAGTGAAGCTAAAATATATATTTCCTATCTCCTTCAATTGCATTCAAATCCACCCCCGCCCCCTTCTTCTCGTGACCTTTGAAATCCTCGTACTTTTCACTGCACATCAAAACCCCCTCTCTGTCTTAAATCGAATGTATCCACCATCCATGGAACGCCTTTTTCATCAGTCTTCTAGATAGGACGGACGGAGCTGACAAGACGTCGAATAGAGACTCCAATATACGAACGAACCCCCGCAACACCTGCACCGGGCATCCGAAATCAGCCCCGCTTTCTCTCTCCCCCTCCATGAGGTCGTGGCCTCTTATTCCATTTCCTAGTTGGATCTTTCATACGCGAAGGCCTTTTTGCTGCCTTGCGTGGATGTACTACTCTTCCCTTCCCGGGGGGGGGTATTATCTCGCGAATTAAGGCAAACGCGCAGGGAGATGGAAGCTTGACATCTAACAAATAAACCCATGCTAAGAACTACGTAAAAGGACAAACGCAAAATGCCCTCCAAAATACGTGACCTATTATTCCTAGCGAATCGCAACAAAACGCTAGGTATAGTGTGTTATATATAATTACTCCCCGTTAAGATAGTAGGTAACTAACTATTCAATAATAATTAAAAAAAAAAAAAAAAAAAAAAAAGGACTTGTAACCTACAGGGTTGACCGGCGAATTTCTCCCTTCGATAAATCAGCCCGTCTTAACTAAAATTCCGGTGCACAAAGGGAATGAAACACTAGAACAATATATATGCATATAACATGGTAAATACTTTTTTTGAAGAAGTAGAAGCAAAAGAAAAAGATCCTGCAGTCTGCCAACGCCTTGGCCACTGGGGTTGACTGTCGCGCTTAAAGAAAAGAGGGGGAAAATAAAAAATAAAAGAAAGAAAGGTACAGTGCAGTAACTAACTGAGCTGCATAGTATAAGTGCAGGAGAAGAAAAAAAAGGGGGCGGGCTGCCTGAGACTGGGTAACTAACTTATTTATTAGAGGCGGGGAAGTGTGCGCTGGTTTTGCGATTTTCTAAAGATATAAATATATCTATCTAATCTCTAACAAATCTCGACGCCAATATTTACTTATATCCCCCGCCAATACCGAATTTCTCAACTCTATTATCTATCCATATCACACCTCAAATTCAATATCCCAATGACACAAAATTAAAACCAATCTAAAAGAAAAAAATGTCAGACCCAACTTCAGCCCAGTCCACCCCTTCCTTGCCCAATCCGCAACCAATACAACAACAAGAACACCAACAGCCAGAAAGCAAAGAAAAAGAAGAACAAATTCAACAAATAGCTATCCCTCTAGCAGAGGGACATCGGGAACTCGTCCACCTACCGCGCGTGACCATAAGATACTGTACGCAGTGCAAATGGCTGCTCAGGGCGGCATATGTATGTTGTCCCAATCCGTCTAACTCATCTCAACACAACGCTGTCAAAATAATCCGTAGCCCATCTACATATATTCTGTTCCAACGAGAACGCTTCTCTAACCCGCCGCCCCGTGTAGTTCGCCCAGGAGCTGCTGTCCACCTTCTCCACGACACTGGGGGAGGTGTCTCTCGTCCCGGCTACCGGTGGTGTGTTCACAGTATCCATCCTGCACGAGTCTAATGTCGATTTCACGACGGCGGAGACCGTGCTATGGGATAGGAAAGCGGAGGGCGGGTTTCCGGGTATGTTTATTTATTTATTTATTTATTTATTATTTTTTACTTTTATTTTTATATTTTTTTATATTTTTTTCCCTATCTATATTCTTCGCTACTTTCAGTAATTCCTAATAAATACGCGCAAAACAACGCCCCCCCGGGACCCCAACAGAAACAAAACAGCTAAAGTCACTCGTCCGTAACATTGTCGATCCCTCGCGGGATCTGGGACATGTTGATCGTGCCCTTGCTAAGAACCACGGGAAGGCAGGAGGAGCTGATACTACGGGGAAGACGGACATGAACGTGATGCCTACGCAGACCCAGGCACAGAACGGATCGTCTCCGCCTGTTACTGCCATTACCGATGTTTGTAAGGACTGTGAGTGAGAGGGAGGTTGGTTATATGGAGCTATCTATGTGTCTCTTCTCTACTTGGTGTGTTCAAATGGGGAGGGGGGGACCCTCCCCTACCACTCAACAAGGTGCGTGTGAAGGTGAAGGGCGTGGGATATGACTATGAAAGCTGAAGGGAATGAGTGACGTCCCCGTGTATGGACGATTTGGCCTAACTATTCACGACGGGTCCAATAGACACACCCCTCTTCGAAAAACGTATTGAATGAAGCGCCCGACTTGAGGCGTGGGGATGTCGATATTTCTGAATTTCCTTTTTTTTTTTTTTTTTTTTTTTTTTTTTTTTTTTTTGGTCTTCTAGACGATGTTATGTATGTGTGTACCGGACTTGATGTACTAGGCGAATAGTTATCACTAGTGTGGAACCATGTTCAAAAAAGAAAGTAGGAAAAATAAAAGAAAAGAAGATAAAGTCACAAAAGACCGCCCATATATAAGTATGCAACTCGAAATAATGATATAGACAAAATATCCAAATGAGTCCAGAGAAAAAAAAATATGGGGAAAAAAAAAAAGAGAAGAGAAGACATGCCGTAATTCATTCGAAGGTATCAGGAGAAAGAAGCCAGTCAGCCGCCGACCGCCCAACCCGTTGCTTAAAGGGAAAAAAACGGAAAACGGAAGGGGAAAAACGAAGCATGCCAGTGCCCACCTGGAAGTTAAGGTAATGAAACCGAGAAGGGATGAAAATATATATACATATATATAACGGAAAGAAGACAGAAATGGAAAAATGAAAAGAAATAAAGACAAGAAAGGAGGCACATGCCCATGCCACATAAAACACAAAAAGAGAGGAAATAAAATATAAAAATGAGATGATGTTTGGCATGATCATGATTTTCTCCAAAAAAAAAAAACCTTTCGCCGCCCCCCTTCCCCCAACAAACCCTGAAAAAAGGGCCCCCCGTTCCCATCCAACCGCCACGCCTTGCCCGCCCCTGGTATTTCGTATCCCCGTCCCGCTTATTCCAAAAGAAGAACCACGGCTAAATAAATTAAAAGAGAATAAAACACCAACCACAAAACTCCATCTCCGGCTAAAAGAATCCGAGAGAGCACTCGTTATGAGTGAAAAAAAAAAAAATCCATTGACAAATATACGGGAGAACCGGACTTAACCGGACGTGCCGATGCAAGGGGGAAAAATAATATAACTTCATAGGATATAAGAGAGGCGAGAGAGAAGAATCGATCCCTCACCCCTTATATAATATAAAATTGGGAAGGAAAATAGTGATTATCGACACCCGTTAGTCATGCTCAGGGGAGGCGATTTCCCTGTTGCGGCGCCAAAAGGCGAGCCGTAAGCGGCTACGTCGTCGCGGAACAGTTCGGTGGTTGACTCCATTCGTGTCTTGAGTGTGATGGTGGTGGTGGTGGTGGTGTACTGGTGCATAATCGTGATGCGAGGGGTGTGACGAATCAGTCGGAATGTAGTTGACGGAGGTGGAGGAAGTTGGGTTTGTGATGGTAAAGCCATTCCCCTGGGTGTGGTGGCCGAAGTTTTTATCGATAAAGGCAGCCATGAAGTGTGGAGTTTTCCCATCTTCGACGTTACTATGGTAGGTGTGAAGAAGGCTTGGACGGCCAGAAGTAGCAGCGGCGGGTGTGGCCCGATCATGGTCCACCACGCTGTCAGAACAGCTGCTTGGCAGACGATTTGCCCGATCGTGGTCGAATTCATGGCGCACATAACCATGTTCATCATCACTGGTACCTACGCTACTAAGGCTGCTGGCTTGGGTCGTTGAAGAGATAGGTGTCATGATAGTATTGTTTGTATACGTGCTCGTGCTTTGGGTCCGTGTTCCGCTCGTAATCTCGCTTTGGCGATTCACTGTAGTTACTGTCGATGAGCGGCCGGATGAACGCTGGAACGGCCGATGACATTGGTAGCGCCGGGAATGAGATGCTTGATTGTCATCTGCGGCTGACTCAATACATCTAGAAGCGCCCGTCGATATGGTCAAGGGAGGAGTGACACCGGACGAGTCATTGTGAGTTTGACAGTCCTTATCAACTTCTTTGGGCTCATACGTTCCACACTGCATATCCTTATTCAGCTGTAACTGGCTCAAGGCTGGTGGCAAGTTCCAAGAGGCAGGAGGGGTTCGATCAATATTAACAGCTGAACCTCCGGGGGGGTTTCGCCTCCCTGTAGGTTCCTAAGATCCGACTCTGATTGTGCCAACGGTGTCGTGTTGCTTTGGATCAATTCAAGGGACCCTCTGCTTTGTACATCTCGATTCACGATTTCCCGCCATATCGACTTATTCCGTCTTATTTCTACTGTAGTAAATGTCATCTCGGGTATCAGGTCAGCCATACTGTCGAACAGAGGCAGTGCAAATATTGTCATGAAATCGATTTGGCCTTTGGCGAGTTTGGGAATATTTCCAAGTTCCGGAGGGCCACCGAAGAGCGCTGTCTCCATTCCGATGGTCTTCTCCATCTTCCCTTGCTGGGCGAATTCCTCCTGCAAGGCATTTGTCCATCGTTTCGCAATGCTCCACGGGCGGGCCTATACAAGTAGAGAGGTTAGTTTACGGGAGTACGGTACATAAAACGGGCGGAGAGACGAGTCACGTACCACATTGCTAATGTCGGCGCATTTGATTAGCAAGCCGCAGAGTAAGACCCGATCGGTCTCTATTTCTTGGTCTGTCCACCCTTCCGTCGAATTGGTTTTGTGATATTTCTCCTGAAGTTTGCCTAAGCTTTCCATGAACTTAAAATGGACACCCATATCAGTCGCAAGGATAGAACTGATCATCAATTTACGCAGTTTCGCATCCGCGAAAACTGTGGGCCAATGGGATCGTAAAAGTTGCGAAAACGCAGCACAATGGAAAGATTCTAGAACAGAGTTATCGTTGTATAGCTGGGCAAGTGGAGCGTTCAGTCGGACGAGAAAGACATTATTCACTCCCGGATGACCGACGTCGTGTCCAATTGCCGTGATGAGGAGAGCTAAAGCGTCGGAGGGAGTCAACAACGATGATATTGGACTCACTCCCGCACGTTGACTGGTTCCATTCGGGTAAGGGGGTAAAGCACCGATGCTAACGAGAAGGTGAAAGGTCGATTGTAGGACATCTATAGCGTGGCGGAAATTGTGGTATAGGACAAAACTATTGTACGTGACACGAGTGGCAAGCAAGAATGAGTGGAGTTCCTCTAGAAAGTTCATGTAAGCTTGCGACCAGAACCCCAAAAAAGAACTAAGTAGTATTCATAACAAAAACATTCACTCACCGGAGCAGATTCGCCAGGGTTCTAGCTCTGGCATCTGTAAGGCATGCTCTAGCATTATTGTTCCAGCATGAACAAGTTCGTCCTCTGAGAAATCATGGGCTGCGAAATCCCATTTGCCGATTTCAGCCTCAACGAGCCGTTTCCGTTGGTCCAGGATATGAAGGTCACTAGGTACAGGTAAATATATTGGCATGTAACGAGGTACCGAGAGAGCCATACCTTTGGTATTCATCGACCTCTTCGTCAGGATTGCATATTCGTTTCATCAGTTTAGTCACCCTAGAAGTACTAATTAGTAGAGTCATATTTATGATGAGCGAGCTCATCACTGGGCTAAGCTAAGGGTACTTACATGGTCTCTCGAAGATAGGAGTACGGTTGTTGGTCATTGGCGCCAACCCATGAGTGTTTTGTGGGTCTCCCGGCTGCTGTATCCCGCCATTGCTGCCTCCTAGCTGTTTTAAATATTTTGTATGCATGCACTAAGAGACTCTGAAGTCTTGACGCCTCTAACGGGGTTGTAAGGACATCGACGGCGCCCGCATCCAGGCAACGAGTTATGCATCTGTTCACCAAGGGGAAATCATTTACTATATCCTCCGCCGTAGCTTCTGAATATGTTGATTTTCCACGCTCATCGTCTTCCCGGATGAAGCGTAACACAGCGACGGGAACCGCAAGGTTCACTTCAGTCTGAATTCTCACGTTCGCCGAAAACCTGGCAAGAAGCTCGAGCATGCAGAAGTCATCCGCTTCGGACGAGAATCGTAGAAATCGTCCAACTTTTGTGTTGGGTGTCGTTGATGGCACGGGTGGTGGTGCAAGAGACCGACTTTCAGACGATTGCCATAGTGGCTCAGATGAACCGTTGACGACGATAGAAACCAGGGCGAATAAGGGGTTGGAATTAGGCCGACAAGTAATATTGAGCTGCGTTAACTGTTCGGCGAATGATTTTCTTGAATTAGACAGGTAAACTGTTTCTAGGCAACCAATCATTAGCTGAATTTCTTGAAATTTCAACATGTTTTAAAATCCAAATAATACACTCTGCCGCAGGCTGTATCAGCTGCAAAGTGGTCTAAAAAAAACCACGAGGAATATACGACTACGTTACCTTTCCTGAAGACACCAAGAAAAAGTAGCACATTGGTGCGAATTTCGCCGCTTTCATCAGCTGAGGTTTCTAGACCGGAGTAGGTGGTTACTCCAGCAGTCGAGTCGGTGTTTTTGATCACCCAACGTTCATCCTTCACACGGTCGTCTAGGTATACGGCGCAAGCTTCTCCAAGCTCCATGCTGCTGGAATTGAGATATGGCGTTTTTCTGGAAAATAAACCTTTCTCAGAGCGAAGTCGACGGGGGGTTTATCCGCAGTGAAGATAAATTCACTGGAAAAGAGCCTCTCTGCTGTCTTCGGGTGTCCCGCTGAGCACCAATATAAGATATAGTCCACCTGTATTTTCTTGGGTTCCTGCTTTTTATATCAAAAAAAAAAAAAAAAAAAAAAAAACCTTTCAGCTTCCTTCACTTCTTCTACCCGAAACCGACAACCTTTTTTCCTCCCGATTCGGACTGAACGAGTCCCAAGACGTCTATTAGGAGAGAAATCCAGCGGCGCCAGCGTCGCCCTCAGAAAAAAGAAAAGAAGTATTGAGGATGTATGTGCAACATCCGGTTCCTACCTAAGCCGAATGGACCGGACTTGAGTAGACGCCCCTGAGAGAGAGAGAGAGAGAGAAAGGAGGGTGGCCGGGCAAACCAACGGGGTCTGTCTGGCCAGCGATTGAGCAGTTTTTGGGCGAGATGGGAAACTGCACGATCGACCCTCCTATAAAAACATGGCGACGGCGAACGCACTCGGGATGGTAAGGCGGGGGGGGGGGGGGGGGGGG